TGCAGCTTTTTACCTAAATCTGTACAATAAGTGCATTTGATCTGAGTTCCGGTGTCTCTGGAGTACCTGAAGACAGTATTTAGAACAATATTTGGGCAAGACTATGAATGTGACAAACCAAGATGACGATTTTTCATCTCCAGTGATTTATTTTTCTGCAGTCACCAGCACTGAGACTCGCCTAGGTCAGCGTCTTGTCCCCGTGGAGAAGGAGCAGCTCCTGAGCAGGATGGACTTGCCTGCAGGTTAGTATTGTGTGGACTCCAGCACCCTCTAATGGTGCAGCCACTCTCTCACCATATGTTCCTGTGCACTTAGAAACACATGATTGCATTTGTAATAATGAGACAATTTTTGCTGCAAATTGCCACTTTTTTACTTGGTGGCAATTAAAAGTTTTGTAATATTTTAAACAGCTTTACTTGCAATCTGTGCCGACAGACCTCCATATACCCAGCCCATATTTCCACATTAAGTTATGGATAAAATTTTACAGTGGGGGATGGGCCGACTGAGAAATCTGTGCGAGTGGGAAGCAGGTGATGAGTGAGCGCAACGACACTGTGGATGCAGCTTCGTCAAAGGCAAGGTGGGCACTGCCATATAGGACAGAGAGAGTTGGGGGGAAAAGTCAATCCATTTTGGTTTCAATATTAGTAGTAGGATAATTGTCTAAATCTAACTTTTGTCCCAGAGCTGTAGAGAGAGATCTTAAAAGTAGTCTGTGCAAACACAGCTCTACTCACTTCGTTAGAGCTCTGCTGATTTACATCGAGAGTGTTCTAATGGCTTCCTTAATTCACTTTATCAGCTGCGAGATAGTATCATGATGTTGTATACAAATTATGTGGATAAAAGTACAAAAGGACCTTTGGACGTGTGCACAAACTCATGTAAAATGCAGGAGTCTCAGTACAGAGCTGCAAAGTCCTGCTGAAAGTAACAAAAAATAGGTTTTCCTGGGGTTTCTGGAAAGGTGTTAATGTGTAAATGTGTCATGTAGTGGAGAGTTCTTACTGAATATAACAAAAGTACAGCTTGCTCATAGGTTAGTACCAGCCAATCCACATTACAATTTCACCATCTCCCGGTACTTGGCTGGAAAGATGGTGAAGAGAAGCGAAAGCTTTTATAAAACGTGAGTCTCTCTGAGAAGTCCTCAGTGAAAATAATAGGATTTCTTGTGAAGTCTAAAGATGGTCAGTTGCGTAGAACCACAGAATTATGGAATGGTGTGGCTTGGAAGGCATCTTAAAGATTATCTAGTTCCAAACCCCTGCCCTGGGGAGGACATCCTAATTCTTTGGCCCATTAGTCCTTTGACCCTTCTGATATGACAGCAAAGAAAATTGCTGGATTCTGGCCTGTTTGAAACTAACCATGAAAGCTACCAAAAACCTCCAGGTACAGCAAAAACTGCCACTGTCATTGAAAACTGTGTAAACTGTAGCTCATGCTGTCATAACTACACACAACAATCTGGATGACAGCCAGGATATTAATCAGTAGTTACAGAGCTCTGCATGGCCAATCTCTGGAGCAGCTCTTTTTTCCCTCTGCAATCAGCTGTTTAATTTCGTTTTTTCTGAAAAAAGTTTGGTCTAACTCCCCTGCATGTGCTGGGGTGCAGCATTTTTGATACAGAGCCCAAATCTGATATGATAACATGTAGCATGTGTTGTAAGATTTATCTGCTTACCTACAAGTATGGTATGTGACAGTCCAAGATAGGATCACGGGAGGGAGGGTTGCTGTGTTTTCCTACAATAAATGACAAAATGGGCCAGCCTTTAGGCCCACAGGCCTTTTTCACATCAGCAGGGAGGTCAGAAGCCAGGGCTCTCAGCTGCCTGTAGGGATTGGTCTTGGTTCCCCTTTTAGGTCATGGATTATCGCATCTTCTTTGATATCTCTGTCACTGATAAGCTACCTACCCAGATATAGATATGTCTGACAATAATAATAATAAAAAGGTACACCTTTGTTTTGCACATGTAGTTAAAAGTAGTTTGAAAAGTTAGATCTTCATGAGGTTTGGCTCGTTACTGTTTAGGGCTGCTTTGTAGCTATCTTCCCACATACCTTCAGGGCTTGCGTATATTACAAGCTTAAGCAAGATTTTGAAATCAACAGTGGGGAAAGTAACTTGCACAACTTTGATTTTCTGGATTAGAATATAATTAGAAATGCTTACTGTAGTCTGTGCACAGTTTCATGTTCAACACTGGAAATACAAACTCCATTTTCCCCTTGTGTTTATTTTACAATTAAGCATTTTCTACCATGTGTAATTTTTTAAGAGCTTTTTGTCCTATGAAAGACAGCTTTTGGTGAAATTGATACATGTGGTCCTTTGGGTTTTTCTGCAATAGCTTTCTGAACTCTGCAGAAGTTTGCTTCTCTGTTTACAGAGCTGTGTGTGATGTGCATTAGCAGGAAACTGCTCATGGTCAGAATGAAACTTGAAAGATAGAGGTATTATTGGAGATAACGCCACGTCTTCCTAAAGCACTCTCGTAAGTCAGGCTACTTGGAACTGTTGTGGTTGCTGTGGAGCCCAGCGAGGCTGCACATCCAGAGAGCATTTGCTTTACTTTGTAGAACTGGCTGAAGCTCAACTTTAGATCCAGCATTTGTTTCGAATAACATCTGTAGTGTTGATTTCTGAAAAGGGCACAAGGTACCCGACACCAGTTCTGTCTAACTCCAGCTGGCACTTTCAAATGGGGAGCTACCATTTGAACCACAAGTGTGAAAAATACATTATAAGAATCACAAGAGGTCGCATGATTATTTTGGTTTTAAAGAGCTGTATTTGGGAATCTCTTACCTCAGTTGAGCTCATGTTTATATGACTAAGTCTCCCCTGGAAGCCCATGAAACAAAATAATTTTGAAGATAATCCATGTGGATCTTAGAACTCAGAAAAACTGGCTGTCGAACAAAAAAAAATAGTCTTAACTTTATTTACAGAGGCATTATCTGAAAACGTCTGCTTACTTTTACAGTGTTCCACTGCTGTGTGTGGGAGAGGGTGCCTTCCTGCTTTATATACCTACACGCAGGAAAATTGTATCCTGGATGTGCTGTGCCTCCCATCTCTATGATGGGAGTTTGGAGATTTTAGGAGAGGAGCTGTGAGTTGCTTCAGGTATCGATTTAGCTCACAAGAATGGTTTTTAAATCTTACTGTTTATAAAATGTATTTCTGGCAATAACTCTGGCTTCTCAGCTCTACACAGTGTGAGGAAGGAGAAAGCAAGCAGGCATTCACATCTTCCTCTTCCAGATCCTCAGAACATGGAGTGTTCGTGTCCCAAATCTGCTCCCGGAATGTCACAGAAGGGGGCATTTCTCTTTCCATAGACTGTGTATACATACAAAACCTATACTGTGGATTTCACAATCTAAGTCAGGAGTCTGAGATTTCGTGTTTGGGGTTATGTGCAGCTCAGGCCAGCGTATGTTATGGTATCTGCAAAGCACTTTTGCTACAGCAGGGACTCTCCAAACGCTTGGTTAAGCTGGATCACACATAGAAAATTAAAACAAGTACCAAAAAGTTCAGGTTTTGTACTGAAATAGTTTAATAGCCTGGAGAAGAAGAGAACAGTGACTGTATAGACTGTGAGTGGGTAGAGGAGGGGTTAAGACAGCCGTCACCTCATTACTGAACAAATTCTTTGAGAAAAATCAGAGGCTGTAGGTCATCAGCTCCAGCTTAAAATACTGAAAACTAAATATGGAATTACACGTGTGGTCTAAGGGTTTGCAGCTGATGTCTAAATTTTCAGAGATTTGGGCAGCAGAATGGCAAATGTGGTGCCTGTACTCCAAAAGAGAGCAAAGCTGCCAGCGGCAGCGCAGACCTGCCGGCCCCACACCAGCAGGGACACTTCCACAACAAGTTCCGAGGGGAAAAAGGTGAAGAGCAAAGAGGTGACTGGAAAGTATGGAAAATTACACCAGGGTTTTCTCAGAAGTACGTTCTGTTAGATAAATTGCTCTCTTGATGAAAAAACTAGTTTCCTTAACAGGGGCAATATAGTGGATTTAATTAATTGAAGTCTCGACGCAAAACACATTGCTGCCTGTGGAAATGAGGGGGATTCCCACGGGAATTCAAAGGGGGTTGTGGAGCAGGCTGGGGGAGCTGGCTGCTCTCTTCTTCTTTTTTTCCATTACATGCCACGTTATGAAGTTGATGTAGGATACTGGAGGGGATACTGGTTTTGTGCCACGGGTTGTCCTGGGTCTGACCTTCCCACCTGTATCCCTCCTGCATCCCACCCCCAGTCCCTCCCACCCGCAGCTGGGGCACAGGAGATTTGGGAGCAATACAAAGCTGGTGCAGAGGACAGGACAGTCCTACATGAGAAACAAGATAAACTCAATAGAACAAAGCACAAAATCGTATGATTAGTAATAAAAAGGGCTTTTAGTATAAAGGTTCATCAGTCAGAGAGAGCACAGGGGAAAGACATTAAACTACCGCAGGAGAAAAGGCCCTCGTGGGGCACTTCTAGCACACACAGCTGAGTACGGTTGTGCCAGTGAAGAGCACCGCGGATGAATTTAAATTAGCGCAATTAAGGTCGGTGCAGAGGACAGGACAGTCCTACACGAGAAACAAGATAAACTCAATAGAACAAAGCACAAAATCGTATGATTGGTAATAAAAAGGGCTTTTAGTATAAAGGTTCATCAGTCAGAGAGAGCACAGGGGAAAGACATTAAACTACCGCAGGAGAAAAGGCCCTCGTGGGGCACTTCTAGCACACACAGCTGAGTACGGTTGTGCCAGTGAAGAGCACCGCGGATGAATTTAAATTAGCGCAATTAAGGCGGTGCCGCGGCTGGTGCGTCCCGCCGGGGCCTGGGCTGCCCGTCCCGCCAGGGGGCGCCGCAGTGCCGCGCCCAGCCCTGCCAGGCCGCTCAGCCGAGCGCCGAGTCCGCCTCCGCCCCCGCCCCGCCGCTCAGCCCCGCGCAGCCGATGCCCGATGCGGGCCGGGGCTGAGGTGAAAGATGGCTCTGTCGCGGGGGCTGCGGTGCTGCCAGCGGGCCTTCGCCTGGCTGCCCGTCCTCATCATCACCCTCGTCGTCCTCTGGTCCTACTACGCCTACGTCTGCGAGCTGTGCCTAGGTGAGCGCCCCGGGGGCGGCGGGCCGGGAGGGTGGCTGAGGCGGTGGTGGGCCGCGGTGGGGCTGCTGAGGGGGCTGAGGCGGCTGTGGGGGGCGGCTGTGGGGGCTGCTGAGGGGCTATGGGGGGCTGCTGAGGGGCTGTGGGCTCTTGTCCCGAGTCGCGAGTCCGTGCGTTGTGTGTCCTCCCCTCAGCTGGGGGAGGTGCCGTGTGTGAGGGGAGGGAGGTGTGTGCCCGCGGTGCAAGTCCCTGTTGTCGCCGCACGATGAAGTTCAGGTGTGATTTCTGGTCTGAGCGGTACCGAAAATCAGCCTGAGGGGAGACCTTCTCGCTCTCTACAACCACCTGAAGGGTGTTACCAGGTGGGGGTCGGTCTCTTCACCCCAGTAACAGGCGATAGGAAAAGAGGAAGCGGCCTCAAGTTGTGCCAGGGGAGGTTTAGATCTGATATTAGGAAAAATTTCTTCGCCAAAAGGGTTGTGAAGCGCTGGAACAGGCTGCCCAGGGAAGTGGTGGGGTCACCATCTCTGGAGGTGGAAATGACATGTGTCTGTGGTACTTGGTGCCATGGTTTAGTGGTGAAGTTGGCAGTGTTAGGTTAATGGTTGGGCTGGATGCTCTTAAAGGCCCCTTGCAACCCAGATCTGGAGGTGGAAATGACATGTGTCTGTGGTACTTGGGAGCTGTGCCTAGGTGAGCGCCCCGGGGGCGGCGGGCCGGGAGGGTGGCTGAGGCGGTGGTGGGCCGCGGTGGGGCTGCTGAGGGGGCTGAGGCGGCTGTGGGGGGCGGCTGTGGGGGCTGCTGAGGGGCTATGGGGGGCTGCTGAGGGGCTGTGGGCTCTTGTCCCGAGTCGCGAGTCCGTGCGTTGTGTGTCCTCCCCTCAGCTGGGGGAGGTGCCGTGTGTGAGGGGAGGGAGGTGTGTGCCCGCGGTGCAAGTCCCTGTTGTCGTCGCACGATGAAGTTCAGGTGTGATTTCTGGTCTGAGCGGTACCGAAAATCAGCCTGAGGGGAGACCTTCTCGCTCTCTACAACCACCTGAAGGGTGTTACCAGGTGGGGGTCGGTCTCTTCTCCCCAGTAACAGGCGATAGGAAAAGAGGAAGCGGCCTCAAGTTGTGCCAGGGGAGGTTTAGATCGGATATTAGGAAAAATTTCTTCGCCAAAATGGTTGTGAAGCGCTGGAACAGGCTGCCCAGGGAAGTGGTGGGGTCACCATCTCTGGAGGTGGAAATGACATGTGTCTGTGGTACTTAGTGCCACTTAGTGGTGAAGTTGGCAGTGTTAGGTTAATGGTTGGGCTGGATGCTCTTAAAGGCCCCTTGCAACCCAGATGATTCTGTGATTAAATCACACTCATGAGTCAACTTGTTCCGGTAGCACGGAAAACACTAAATATTAGAAAGAAAATGTTTGGCACTGGCTGGTAATTGTATAGTTTAACGTAGCAATTTAACTATGTAAGTTGCAAGCTTTCTTGTGTTTGCTATGTTCTGGTTTAGTGAGTGTGTAAAACCCCATTACTAGAAGAACTGATTGCTCGGTGTGGTGGAGGTGGAAGGGAAAGCTGGTAGCTTGGGCTTCTGAAATTGTGAGGTGGAGCATGTGGCCCTTTCTTTACAGGACAGGGTAAAGCGGATGAAGGAAGCCAGAGTTCTCAGAACGATAGTTTGAGATGTTTCTGTGGAAAGAGCTGCCTTCTGCTACTGCACAGCAAACTTAAATCAGAGTTTTGTTAGGGTTGCCAATGTAGTAAGAACTATTGTTTTTTCTCAATGGAGACTAAACTGAAATGCAGCTTCTTTGGTCTGTTTCAATTGGCAGCTAGGCAAAACCCCCAAATACTTCATGGCATTTTATTCTGTCTCTGAGCTTGTGGGCTGTTTCTTTCTAGAATTTACATGAAACAATATCTCCAAGGTGCATGTAACTGTTGATTAGACCTAGTGACAAAAAATTTAGAGTATTTTTCTGAAACGTTGTCAGTCTTTTGAAATATGCTTTGTTTGTGGTGCTGTGCAAATCCGGTAATACTTAACACTGGCTAATTCCAAGTCTCCGTGCAGCTATTAGATCAGCTGTGCTGATTTAAGTGGGGTTTGGATTGGGCCTGTGTTATTCTGCAAATGCTGGTTAAGCTGGCAGGAGCTCATCTCACTGCCTAGAATCACAGCTTAAAATCACTTCTTTGCCCACACTTGTCCTTTTTTTGCCCCATCTTTCTCTCTCATGTATTTTGTTTGCGTGTGGAGGAGGTTATCTATACAGAAGTTGAAATGAATACATTAATTATTTTAGGATTTGAACATTAACTGTTGGCATATGCCGTTACTTGAAAGCCAGCTCTCGGGATGTTATCTCTCTTCCAGATTTCTAACATAGCAAGGATATAGTTTTGATTTCTGTTTTTCAGGCTTCCATTGTGTGTTGCCATTTCAGCTGTTGCAAGTGTGTAAATAGTAGATGCTCTGTTTGTATTCTTGATTTTCATCTTTAGTTGTGCTGGCTGCCAAAGACTGAAAGTAGCGTGGAGGTGATGTCCTAGAGGTACCTCATGATAGTGGATTTTAAACTTTCAGTGACTGGTGATCTCTATGGTCCCTTCCAACTCTAAAAAATTCAGTGAAATTCAGTATGGCCACAAGTCAATACTCCAGAGGAGGCCTTGGTTTCCTGTCTGGTTAGTGGTTGCTGTCACAGTGAGAGCAATGACCCAGTGTCCTGCGATAAAATCTTTTATATACTCTTTATTTAGGAGTGTGCTCTTTCTTCAAGTGAAATCCTTAAAAGGGCCATGCTGCAAATGTAACGTGTGCTTCAGGGGGCAATCAAGCAATATTTGTGAAAAGCTGGTGTGTTCTTCATAGTTTGATTTGCAGCAAACCAAAGGGAAAATTTAAAAATTTCCTAACTCTCTTGTTCATTTGAAATTGAGCATGCAGAGACATAGCAAATATTTGGTCTCTTTTTTCCATCTGTGTTCTTGTGTAGATCAAAATTGTTTGTCAGCATGGTTTTAAGAAAAGCTACTTTCATCAGTTAAAGCCGGACCGCTTGGTTCCTACTCTGATTTGCATTTTCAAAGTTTGTTATTCAAGTAAGATGATAGAGTGAGTCTTGAAGAGTAGAGTCTCTTTCCAGGGGCTGGCTGTAGGCTAGAATTAAAAGGCTCCAATCCCTTGGTCGCTGCTTTTTCTCTGCAGTCTAACGGAGTTACTGAAGGGGTCACTGCTGGTGTGTGTAGTCTCTCAAATCTTTGACTCTTGCAAGATCACGATCTTATTTTTTAAGATTACCGCGCCTGTGGGAGATGATCTGTGGCCGCTACTTTCCTCTCCTCCTGTGTTCCTCCAATGAACAACACGTTTTAGTTGCAATCATTGGGTTCAAGGCTGTAGACTTGATATAAGGGACTCCCATCCCATGAATGATCTTTGTCTTCCAAGCAGTATTCTGTCAAGATATCACAGAGCTGCTCTGTTTTTTCAGTTAAAGAAATATGTCTGTATCTTTTCTGTCAAACTTGGACGATGGCTTTTAAAATAATGGATGGTTTTTAAAATAATCAGTAGAAGTAGGCATTGAGCAATGTACCCTTTGCTGGTTGCTCTCAGTGGTTCCGTTAGTAGGGACTGTTCTTCCCATGATTATGGTACAGTAAGAAGGGGTGGTAAAAACTCTGCTGGTAGGAAGCGTGAAAATAATGGAGTCATTACAGTGTATCCTTTATTGCTGACTAGACCAAAGCCAAGACAACTTGTAATTTTTCATTTATGCTGATGCAGAAATGGATTTGGGCAGGGCTCACTGTGGGGGATCAAGACCACCTAGAGACTAGTACAAAGCAGGCTACAAGTACGTGCTTGTAAGTACATGCGTAGAGATGTTGCTTGGATAGTTGCAGGGGAGCCCTGGTAATCTTGTCAGATCATTGTCACTAGTGGATTATTTTTGTATATATATTTCTAATGTACAAATAACCAAAATATATTTTATAACAAGGGAAAATACAGCATAAGTAGCAGTTCTTGAACATCTTGTTGTGGGTGTCGTTTGCGTGAGTAAACAAGGAATTGTTATGGTTTGTTATGAATTGTTATGCTTTTTATTTGATGCTAAACTGCAGGCTCTCTTTTTGGCTGTTGAATTTGAACTTTTTTCCTAAAAGGGCTCTATGTCAAATAGAAACATTATTTGTCACAAACTTTTCTGGGAATCCTGTTTGCTCTGCAGACACATGTTTTCTTTCTTTTTCAGTGACTCTGAGCAACCCTGTGGAAAAAGGTATGTGCATTCAATTTACTATTTGACATTCAGTCCTTGTGTGAAAAGATTCACAAATGTTCTGGTTAAAATATCAAAAAATACTTTGTCAACTGTTTTGAATTTACATACTCTTTCAGTGTTGCCTTCCTGCAATTATGCAATTATTAATTATACAGCACACATTATTAGACATGCTCTAGCTTTTTGATGCATTGGGAAATGCCTCTGTTTAGTTGCAGTACAAGTGGAAGAACATGAAAAGGCGTTGATCCCTTCTACTCTTTCAGGAAAATCTATGTCTGTGTATATTCCCACACAGGTTTTCTCCCTACATGTTTTATGTTTTCAGAGCTGATTTTATGAGATAAACAGAAAAGACTAGTTCTGTTCTGTGGCCTACCAAAAGTGAAAGCTTTTTTAAATGTTTTTTTTCGTAGGGAGGCTTTTGCAGATGTTTTGCTTGGTTCTGCTGACCGCTAGCCATGTATTGAGCAGCAACACAGTAACCTTCAGCTGCTACCACGGATGAGCCAGAGCAAAGGTTTCTGTCTCAGTGTTATTTGGCTTGAACACTTCTCAGGTTCATTTGCTAGTCCAGGTTGGCAGGTTTGTTTCTGAGGACCCAGATGCAGTATCATGAGGTCGCTGAATGAGTCGGGCAGAGCAGCAGGTTCACTTGAGGAGACTGTTTCCACTGGTGCATTGTTGGAGGCCAGTCATGTTCTAAGAATAAGGGGTTAATGGCCATTTTAGTATTCCTCCTCCTCCTCCTCTTTCCTGGAGGTGCTTTGGTGGCATGTGGCTAATACAGATGGCTTCTTACCTAGAAGTAGGTGTAGTGGTTTTCAGCTGGCAAATTGTTCCATGAAGAACAATGCCAGCTGATACTTTAAAGATCCTCCAGATTGCTGCATTAAGTAAATTCTCTTTCCACTAGAGAGCTGTCATAATATTTGAAACTGTTACAGGGGAGCTATAGAAAGCATGCTGTTGATGATTATTCAGCAGATGAAAGTTATTAGTTGCCTAATCTATTAATGCATCTCCAGGTCAGCTTCCTCTAACGTGCTGCTGTATTGCTTTATCAACAAAATTAAACCTGTTGCAAGATTTATCTCGTTACATATTAATGTAAAAACGACTGAGCTTCACCTGCATGTAGTATAAGGATAACATCTCAAAGCTAAGAGCGTAATAATGAAGTGTCATTGATTTACAGATCACACAATTTATCACGTTCTTGTGAGGTGTATCAGATCATTTGCCATCTCATTAGAAAGTCTCAAAGCTGTGCTTGACCTTTTTACCAATTGGATTTTCATACAATCAGTCTTGCCTAGGAAGTTAGGAAGTGTTTGGATTTTAGATTTTTCTTTCCACTAGTAGGTTACTTTAATCTTAGTTTGCTAGAATTTGAGGCTTAAATGAAATGGGGAAAAATGAGGTTATTATTATGATTAAATGGTGTGTTTAAATAAAATTGTCTTATAACTGTTTGATAATGTCTTAGTGAGTCGAGTATTAAAGAAATAACAATCAAATGGCTTGTGTAGCTGAAGAATAATTGTCCTTTGATTCTGACCTGCAGTATGGCTGCTTATGCCCAAAGTCTTTCACATAAAGTTTGCATATTGAAATAAGATTACTTTGATGCATGCTGGATGTCATGTGATAATGTTGTGTCTAGTGGATTACAAGTGGATTTCACAAGACCCGTTTTTGCTTAATTTGAGGAATGTTTTCCTGATTTGTTTTATTGCATCAACTGTGGCAAATCTAAAAGATGTTTAATAAGAGATTACATTGTTTTTCTGGTGAGGTAAAGCTCTGCTAGAGCATGTTATTTCTCTTCAACTCCTGTAAGCGCTGACTACATTGCCCAGGTGGACAGTGCACTGATAACATGGTACTGTCATTCTAAGTGTATTTAGTAGCAAGCAAACCCAAAATTTGGAGATGCTGGAGCATCACAGTAGTAACACTTATGCTGCTCAGCACCAGCCAGTTCTGCTTTGCCTGTGCCTGGGGTGTGGGGAGGAGACAGGAATCCTGTCATTCCCAGTGATCCAGGGCTGTCACCTGCCCCGTGGCTGCACTCTCTTACAGCTCTGTATTCCTCACCCGTGGAATTGGATGGGGTGGGGAAGAGGAGCCTTGTGAGACAGGTAACCCCTAACTGCAGCCACAGGTCTCTGAAATTCTACTGACCCTCTGCCCGAAAGGCTTAGCTGTATTGTCATACTGGTTGGCACTAGAAATCTTTTTTTTTTTTCCTTTATTTTTTGTCATTGTTGTGAAAGATTGGAATTATGCCCATCATGAATGAAACTTTTGCTTAAAAAGTCATTGTTCTACTTCTGTTTTTTTTTTTGTTCTTTTTTTTTTTTTTTTGTTCTTTTTTAGTGGCCTATCTTATAATATTCCATATTCTCTTTGTACTCTTTGTGTGGACATACTGGAAGTCTATTTTTACGCTCCCGGTGCAGCCAGGCAAAAAGGTAAGAGTCCAAGCACTTCTCTTCATTGCCGAATGAAAGCAGGGATGCTAAAGAGAACTCAAAAGTCTTTCAGACTAGTTGATATGGAAAACTGACCGGATTTCCTAAAGAGATGGAAAGTGACCTAGAGTTGTTCATAAAAACTGAGTAATTTACTGTTCTGAGAACACTTTGACTCCCCAAAGAGCGAGATGTACATCAGAGGTGGTGTTAATTTCTGAAGCTGCCTTTCCAGGTATTCCAGGAGCTGATAAGATTCTTCATGTTGAGAATAGTAAGATTGATGATTATTACCTTCCATATTTATAGTGTCGTTGATCTCTAAGCATTTAACCAGTTGCAAGCCAAATCCTGAGGACCTTCCTTAACCTAGACTTGCTGGAGTCTTCTGAGTAAGGACCTTCAGTTTTGGTTTTCACTCTTCATGGAAGATGTTATGGTGCAGGTAGAAATGGGTGTGTTTGTAGTGGCAGTGGGGTTTCTTGATCTCTTGGGCCAGATTGTTGTGGTGTGTATGTGAACATTCAGTGTCCCACCACAGCCCATCCAGCTCTGCTGGGAGCCCTTTGCCAGCTGGAGCTGGCCTCTTTGTAGTGGTTAAGTTTGCTTTGTTTGCCAGACTTTTTTTTTTCTTTTTTTTTTTGTGATAGTGAGGGATAAAGGAATCATCTTCATTTTAAACATGCTGAGATTGAGATGTTGCGTGTCTGTGGCAGTGAAGACTGAGGTGATGTGCATAGCATATGGCTTCTAATCTGGTGCTAGGTATATGTGTAGCTCCAGTCCTTGTACTTCTCTGAGAGCAGCCCTTGGGAGAAGGACTTGGGGGTGTTGTTTGATGAGAAGCTTAACATGACCCAGCAATTTGCACTTGCAAATCTACATGGCTATATTCTGATCCTAATGACAAGAATGTGGATTTATAAATAACAACTAACCCCAGCTTTAGAAATACAAAACTGTGGCTTGGGACAGATTTCTGCTCAGAAGGGAAATGCTTAAAATGTCCTTATCATGGTTAGTAGTATTCATGAAAAATAGTAATCTAAGGCAGCAGGAATAACAATTTTAGTGCATTGTTTTCGGATCTTAATTTCGGTTATGTGTTTCTTATTGATTTATTGCATAGTATTTTGGCTGGCCAGCACTTACTATCTCTCTGTGTCTTCTTAACAAACACGTCTCCATATTAGATTAATGTCATTAGAAGGAGCGGGAGGTAAAAATGTTTCCAAACTTGCCTGTATTTGAAGTCTTATCTCTGCTCCCAGTGGGTGACTGCTTCTCTCCTGCCTTCTGCTTGCAGTACCATATGTCCTACGCTGACAAAGAGCGCTACGAGAATGAAGAAAGGCCGGAGGTGCAGAGGCAGATTCTCGCCGAAATGGCCCGGAAGCTGCCGGTGTACACGCGGACGGGGAGCGGAGGTCAGCTGGGCACAGCTCTGCTTCCCAAACCCAATAACCCCGCTGCCGTGGTGGGTGCTGGCACCCGGCTGGTGCTGCCCTCCCACCGGCGTTCCCGCTGCACGCACCCAGTAACTCCTGCACCAGTGATGCTGGTGCCCTCTGCCTCGGGTTTTATGTTTGGGGAAACAAGCCTTGAATGCTTCCCTTCCTGTTTAGCCAAGTACCAGGCGATGCCTCTGGGAAGCAATATGTTATCCTTTATATTTTCAGTTCAAAAGCTTCCTTGTGTTGTCAGCATTTAGTAATAGAATGATAAAATTGATACTCATTTTTACTTAAAATAGAATCCTGCTTAGAGGTGCAGGACTTAATTCTGTGAATAGATTTCTGGACCTTGTTCTCTGCTTAAATGCTTCCTGCCCTCCTCTCAAAGCTTGAAAGAAATCCCGTGCACCTTTTGGAGGCTCTGACCTGTTCATCTCTGTCAGACAAGCCAAAGAATTCTGAAGTGAAGAACTGCTCTACAGGCAGGGATCAAAACAGAATGTATGTACAGGCTGAAGAAAGGTGGAAGCCAGAGGGAAGTGTACAGTGTTGTTTTATCCCTCCTAAGCTGGCTGTGTGCTTTGCATGAGGATTGTTCCCCGCTCCTCTGAGTCTCCAGAGGAACGATGAGCCTCGCTTATCTGATTATCACCCGGCAGCACAAATCAGCTGCAAATGCCCTCATCTTCTGAAGCGACAGGGGAAAAAATACAAATAGTTAGGAAATGAGCAGAATATTAACTAACATGAAAAAAGAATACTTTTCTATTGTTTGGTATTAACATGTCTTTAATTTCAGGTATTCGATTCTGTGATAGATGCCAACTAATCAAACCTGATCGTTGTCACCATTGTTCCGTTTGTGCCATGTAAGTTCCTGGATCGTTTTTCACCGACCCAAATCCAGTCACCGCTGAGTTATGGGGATGGGCTGGGCCTTCACGTGTCCCTTCACACAGACGGGCACCCGAGTCCCTCTGTGCCGGCTGCAGCCACCCCTGTGTCCCTCAGCAGCGTTAGCGTTTGCGTTGCTGTTATTTGTGGCCCTGGAGTGTTTGCAGTTCCCACACCTACAAGCGTATCAGCATTAAGTTGCTAGGAAACATGCCATTGAGTGAGAATTAACTGATTAACCTAGGCAGGATAAAATAAAGTATGATTTTGACTTTTTAAAAAACATTTTTTTTAAATGTTCCAAGTCTTTACCTGTGGTGTTTTACAAAAGTATTGAGCCCTCTAGTGCAGAAATCATTTTCATTTCTTTTTCCGTTGTAGAATATCAAGGACATCGGTTGATCTTGAAAAAGTAATAAATATTCCATCTGAAAATTATATCCTAACTTAAAAAATTCAAAGAGACAATGTAATCTTGAGTTTGTGTCATGTAGAAGTCTAACAAAAACCAGAGGCTTTTGCTATTAATCTGCAGTTGGCCATTACATACCAAATAAAAATCTTCAATTTTTCTTTTTTGTCCTTTTGCAGATGTGTGCTAAAAATGGATCATCACTGTCCGTGGTATGTCTTCAATATTGGTGTGTAGTTTTCTGAAAGGAGAGGCTGTTTAAATATATTTCTTCCACAGAATAGTGTCTGTGTGCCTCCTTTGGTTTAGACCATGCATCTCGTTATGTTGGGAAATTTATAAAATAATTGCACTTCAAAATTGCCTGAAATGTTTGATATTTTGAAAGACAGATCATTCATGTGTGTTCCAGAAACTATGTGTTAAAAAAAGCTGTTTTATAGATACAATTTAAAACCCAACTGCTAATTCAATCTTTGACTATTACTAAAATTTTAAAGGGACTTCAGCTTAGCCTTTAATTTTGGGTATCTAATTGTTTCAGCATGCAGTTGCAGTTGGTGGTTGCTTCCAATATTAATATTTGCACGCAGATTGTTTCTGAAGGGCTGCCTGCACCTGTGCATGGTCAGAGACACTTAATGTAAATAGCGCATGGATGAATTCAGCTTTATACTTTTTGAGAATTGCTGCCACTAAATTTCTTAAACTCCTCCTTTTTTAAAAAAAGGAAGATTTCAGAAATCAGAAGCAACACAAACATTTCCCCACCTGAACCTCCCTGGTAATCCTAAATTGTAGGGGATTTTTCAGACTGGAGTTTTGAGCCAAATAGCTACTATTTCTTCAGCGTTCTGTTGTTCTTTAGAGTTGTCCTGTGCATGGAGAATTATAAACAAATTTTGATTTTATTTGACTTGTATGTAAACAAACAAGCAGTGGTGAATCTGGCTCCTGAGTTTTGCAGATGAATAAAGTAACACAGAAATCCCAGATCTGATTATCTTTGCAGCCAAGAAGCAGACATAGTAATTAGAGCCTGCCTCTGGGACAGATTTATCAGTGGTACCAATTTAAAACAGATTCCAAAAATAAGGGCTGTCCTTTCACTTGGCATAGCAAAAAGTCAAGTGAAAAGCAAAAAGACTTTAGTTATATTTCACTTTAACCACTAAGGGGAGCTATTTAATGACACAACTGTGTTGTCTAATCAAAAGGCTTAATAAAACAACAAAAAAATGTGTAGTACTCGTGTTAGAACCATGTTCTGTACATATCCTGATTTCAACTTTGCTTTTGTTCTCTAGGGTGAATAACTGCATTGGATTTTCTAACTACAAATTCTTTCTACTGTTCTTAGCCTATTCTTTGTTGTATTGCTTGTATATTGCTGCAACAGTCTTCAAGTACTTCATTAAGTATTGGACAGTAAGTTGTGAAATCTGGTTACTTTTTCATACCCTGTGAGTCTGGTGGGGTTTAGTCACTCCTGTTGCTTTTTTGCTTTCCGTCAATAGAGGGTCTGCATTTCTTCCATAATGTATTTTCCTGAGCCCTTTTTTGATTATAACTCCCATTATATGTCTGAAATGTACAGTGAGAAGCACATAGACTTCAGGAATTTCTAATTGTAGAGTTAGGTTCTGGCAAAGAAGTTATATCCCCTTCCTGTTCTTGTGTTTGCGTGTATGTATGTCAGAATCCGAAGTATAGCATCCTGCACTGATCCATACATAGTTACTGAGCAATATAAAAAACCTTGTTCATTTTCTAATCCCCATATGGCTCCTTTCTCAATTTAAAAGTTGACTGAAATAAAGTGTGCTTCTCATTCAGTTATCGATTATCATTATATGCAAGCAATGCCAACTGACAGTTCCAGTAAAAGACTGGCCTTTTATCTCCAGTTTATGTCCCCTCTGCTGCTAACTCTGTGTGACTGTTTAAGTAACTTACCTTTGCTGTGCATTAATTTACTAAATTTCTGTTTTAATGGCTAATCACTTACATAAAATGCCTCCTGAGATGCTGGTGGGACACAAGCAGGAATTGTTTCTTAGGCTAAGAAAGGCACAGAGGCTGAGCTCTGTGGCTGCATGGATGGGATGCGCAAAGGCTGAGAAGGAATTTTTTCCCTTGGAGGTCCCCTCAGCTTTCTGTAGATCTGTGCTTGTGAGGATCTCTGGCACTTGACTCTTCTACTGTAGGAGGAAAGAAGTGTTTATTTTGCTTGTAAGATCTTGCTTGGCCTTTAAACTCTTCCAAACCATCTCTGCTCAGTTCTAACGCTACCTGGTTGCTGTAGCTACAGAGGCCAGGTTTCTTGGCATGCCTTAAATTGCAAGAGGTGCAGAATTTTAATAGGTGCACAGGAAACTCAGCAGAACGCACACAGGGCTTCAAGAGCTTGTGCCTGCTGATTTCCCTGTGGGCACAGGCGTGCTCCTTGTGCCCAGGTGGGAAGCTGTGGTTGTACTGGCTCTCTTACATACAAAAAGTTAGTAGCAAACCCCTACGCTTTCTGCTTTGGTTACAGGAGGGGAAATGAACCAGATCATTTTTTTGTCTCTTCTTGCTTTTTATATTAAGGTGTGAGAACTCCAAATAGGAGATTTAGAGAATATCTTTCTTCTCAATAGGAACAAAGAATTTTCAGCTTTTATTTGTTCTTATATATATATCTTATCTGTGTTGCTTTTCTTTCCAGGGTGAATTGACAAATGGACGGTCCAAATTTCATATCCTTTTCCTTCTCTTTGTGGCGATCATGTTCTTCGTGAGCCTTATGTTTCTGTTTGGTTACCATTGTTGGCTCGTTAGTAGAAACAGATCTACTTTAGGTAAGGCTCTTGTGTCTTGTTTCTTTAAGTAAAACATACCAAATGTGTTGTAAGATGAAAAACAGAAGGAAAAAAAAAAGGCATTTGTGTTCTGTACGTTCCTGCTGGCTTATGAGGGGAGGAAGATTTAAGATCTTGGCACAATGCTGCAGAAATTTGTCACTTCAGATGAGCTGCATTTATTAGCTGGTGTGACAAAAACTTTCTTAGGGAAATGAGAGCCTTAAAATGTAAAAGTCCAATTACAAAGATGTTATGTATATGTATATCTATATTTGCTGTGAAATGAGTGCAGCTTTTCAGGAACAATGGTTCTTAATGTGCATATACTGCAGTGCATCCTAAACCAGCTGAGTAGGATTGGGAAAAACAGTGTCCATCTTCATTGACAAAGGCAAGGAAATTATGGCTGTAAAACCAATGAAATGCAAATCTGAAACGGTATCATTTTGTCGAGTGATTTGTTTGTCTTTCCTCAGATAAATGTTCAAATTTTAAAGCTTTTTTGAATAAAGTTTTGTACCAAAGCACACACTGTGAAGAGTCTGAGCAAATACTCAGATTTGGTGTAGTTGTTAGCTCATTTCAAGGGGCACTGAAGCTCATCTGTGCCAAAACGTCAGACCTCTGCAGCAGTTTAGAAGGTAGATAAAATTGTTTCCAGTGCACTCAAGGTTCTCCTCCCCTCTCTTTCTTTTGTTAATTTTATGGCTCTCCATAACACGGGGTATACTTGCGTATGTTTGTTCTTAATGCTTGTTCATTATATCATTAATGAATGGCAATTTAAATCTCCAGTGCCACTTCTGAAATACGCATTGAAGACCAACCTACTTAATTCTGCAGATTTTTTACTTAGAGATTTCTGCCCACTGAATTTCAACAAGTGTCAGGCAGAGATCTTTTAACTCTATTCCCCAGATTAAACAAGCCATTTGTGGCTCGGTTTGACTGTTCCACGTGGTTCAGTTGCAAGACCAAATTCCTGCCTTCAGTTTGAAAGTCTTTACAGGCTTGCAAAATGATAATCTATCTTTTCAAACTTTTGTCAAGCTAGTTCATAATGTGTTAAAACATGTTGTCTTTAGATGGCTACAACATGCACAACCCTGTTTCAGAGTATTTGCATTGATTTTCATTTTTTTTCACTGAAATTGCATCTGTCTATAGAGGCTTTCTCGGCTCCAGTGTTTCAAAATGGCCCAGATAAAAATGGATTCAATCTTGGCTTTGTAAAGAATCTTCAGCAAGTGTTTGGAGAAGAAAAAAAGCTCTGGTTACTACCCATTGCCTCTAGGTAAGTAATAATCAATTCAGTGCCAACAGCTGATACAATTAATTGAAGGGACAGACTTCTAAACGTCTGCAGCAACCTCATGTGTTACACCTGTGGTTGTGTGGCTTGGCAGACTGCTGGTGTGCATCGTTACAAATGCAGCAACAAGCATCAGCTGTGTTAATCCTCTTCACCAGAAGTCTGGAAGGGAAAGATTTTTGAGGGCTAAATGCACAGGGTGTTTGAACTCTGCCTGGACTCCTGTGACATGAGTGCGGCTGGGCATTCACTTCAAAGATGCTGTTTTCTTCATCCATCAGACTCTTCTGCCTGAGTCCTGTTTCTCAAAGTAAGGCAAAATGATGCAGTAGTAAAGTAGTAGACTAGTGGTAAAGTACACGGGAATTGAATTCCTTTAGTAACTGGGCACAATTTAAAATAACTTCCTGGGAGAGCAATTCACAACTTTTTCAATAGCAATGTATAAGCCCCAGTTGTGTCCCCACTGCCCTCTGTTTTCCACTCCTAAGTACAGTTGAAGGGAAAAGATCAGCACAGAAAGGCTTTCTGTTGGTGAAAGCAGCGCTGAAGAGCCAGTCAGTCAGATGTTTTCCTTAGTCTCCCCCTCACTTCTAACTGTGCATAAGTTAATTTGTTTTCCATTTTTTTTCTGTGTCCAAATGATGATCAAGTTAGGCACGTTTAAGTTCTGCTAAAAATTACTTAATTCCAGTTTACAGGTTTGAACTTTTATTCCCCAAAGAGCTTGAAGGAATTGAGGACTAAAACTACTCGCTAGTAAAACTTGGTATCTGAGCTGCCACAAAAAATAAGCCCAGTATTTTTCAAAACTTAAAAATAATTTAAAGTAAACGTTGGAAATACAGGCAATGGGAAACTTTGTTTGCAGATAAAATGTGTAGAAATTGGCATCCTTCAGAGTCACTTGTTGCTTTTTACAGTATTTTTCTGTGGTTTTTTTCCCTTCAGCCAGGGCGATGGACATTTTTTCCCAATGAGAGCTCTGTGTGAAGCTCAGAATCCTCTCCTGGCAAACGAAGAGCAGTGGGAAGATGATGGAATAGATGAAGAGCCTCATGGTAAGGTAACACTAAAGGAAATTAGCTGTGTCTTGACCTACAGTGACTAATGGATAAATTATAAGAGCTAATACTGTGTTTCATAAGTGACTCCGCAGCTCTGACTTGGCTAATGAACACAGACTACAAATAAGCCCTTCTTTGGAGTCAGCTTTTTTTTTTTTCCAGTAGCTTTCTACTTGCAAGTAAATGAACTGAGAGTTTGTTACAAGTTGCAAAGAGAAATTGAAATTTCCACAAACTGAGTGCATTTATATATAAACATTGCTGCATGCAGCACAGTTACTGGAGAGATTGTTTCTGTAAAAATGAAAAGACGAAGATTTTTTTTTTAAGTGCATTTATGCTCTAAGATTTTTGAAAAAACATGCAAACACTTGAATGCAGTGACGCGTTTAGGAAGCTACTTTATACTTCGTTTGTTCAGCTTTCTTACAAGAGTACAGGAGTTCATTTGGTTTTGATGCTTGCCTGGCAAGGTGCTAATCTCCATAGAAGAAACAGATGTGCTGAAAGCAATTCTGGGTGAACCGGTATGTTTATACAATAGATCTGGTCACTTTCTGAAATCTGAACATAACCTTTTATGCTATGGATGTCCTATTAGAAAAAAGACTTTTTAGGTATATCCATTCTTTGATGACTTCTGTTGGATGCATCCAGAATTTCTCCGTTTGAACTTGATTATTTTTTTTTTTCCTCCTTGCATATTTACTTCCAGGCTTTGGTCTCTGGAGAATACAGTATGTGTCAGAATATCAGGGTTCATGTCAGAGACCCCACTTACCATGTCTGAGGGTTCAGAAATCCTATAAGTTAAACAAGGGCTCATATTTTTTCCTATGGAGCAAGGATTTCCTTCACAGGTTCCATTTAAAAGAAACATGATAATTTCACTCTTCCCTTTAAGGAGTGGTTCAAGTGTTAATTTATTCTCAGGTTACTATAATTAGGGGATCAAGCAAGTATACTTGGAGAATCAAATATCACTGCCTTATTGTTCAGAGTGTAATTTCCACAGTCATGCTCTTTATTGCTTCAGAATATCTTTGAGAAGCTTTTCTGATCATGTTCCCTTTCAGGGTGTATGTTTTAGTCATACATGCACTATATGTGTTTGGGAACCCGTGAGGAAGACTATAGTCTTGGCTAAACGGGCAACAGAAACTTTTCATGTGAACGTGTTTGTGTGCTACATTCTGTGCAATGAGCTCTTTAATCCTGACAGTGGAGTATTTGCTGCTCAGTCTCTGGTTAGCTCTTTCCTGCAGCTGTTTGTTCAAGTTATTCCACTGCAAAAGAAAGTCTGGCTTGGTTTTTTTTTTTTCAAAGCGCATTTCACGTACTGCTGGGGAAGGAGACTGTCCAGGATTTTGTCAATATGTCTGAAGAGGCTCTTTTTGGCTTTTCTTCAGATTAACTACTTTAATTAGTTCGTATTTGTGTATTAGAAAACTACCTGTTCTTCCTGTTTTGTTCTTTACACTTTTGCAGTTACAAGGTGACACAAATTAGCTTTCAAAGTAACAAAATAAGGCATCTCTCTCTATTTTTTTTATGGTGCTTAAAATAACTTCTTTCAGAATGTCAGAACTTCCTCCAACTTCTACATAGTATAAATTCTCTGAATAAAAAATTAATTCTTAAGTATGAAGACATTTGACAGTGAGATAATTTTTGGCCAGAGCAGACCCCAGAATCTGAATCTGGAGTTTATATGAAATCCCACAATTTACAGTGCTAATAAAATAAATGACATTTACAGGCAGTTGGACTAGATGATTGTTCTAGGTCCCTTCCAACTGAAATATTCTATTCTACTAGTCTTTCTCAGTGAAAAAATAGTTTGGAATCTTATTCCAAGAAGCTGTAGAACTGTAATATTGGTAAAATTAGAACCTGTTACCGTAATGTAAAAGCCAAATGGAGCCTATACAAAGTTACAGACAGAAGTGAGAGTGAGTAGATGGCTGGCAGTGTCTGGGTCTTGGTCCATGGCTGGAGAAGTTTTAATGTTTTTGCAGTGGCTGTGAGGTGAAGGTGGGACCTACAAATAAAAGAATGCCCTGAATAGAGATTGTGTCCTCTGTATGTCTACAAATCAGCGATGTGGAACTGGAATTCAGATGCTGCAGCAAATGTTGGGGGAAATCTAGTTCCCTTTATTTTTCTTACAAACAGGCAAATTCTCCTCTCAGCCACCAGTCTGAACATCTGAATTTTGCAAGGTGAAATCCCATGTGGAGATGGGGGGCAATGTGTGTGGTTGGGAGGGGAGAAGCATCCACCTTCCCTGGATGCTTCTGAGGCCGGTGTTGCAGGACAGAGCAGCTGGCACTTGCGATGCGGCTCTCAGCCCTGTCACTGCTCTGGTTCTGCGAGCAGAGCGATGCACAGAGCTTTCATCAAAAAGCTCCACAACAGGCAGGGTTGCCTGACTCTTGCACTCTGCAAGTTCTGTGGCTCTCCACAACCACCAGGTCAGGGCACAATTGATTCAGTAATCATAGAATCACTTAGATTGGAAAAGATGTTAAGATCATCGAGTCCAGCCATATAACATAGTTTACTCTGCCAAGCAGTTGTCTATTTTTATTTGGAATGATTCTTAAAAGCACACTGTTATACTAAGTTAAAAATATATTCTCAGTGAGAAAACCAGATTTACTTACCTCTAACTACTTTGTTTTTCACTGTATAGATTCTGGTGAAGCTTCATCCCTTGCCATAGAAAGGGAGACATAGCAGTTAGAAAATGCAGCAGTATGAAGCTTGTTCAGAAAGGTCAGTATTTCTTTCTTCATTACCTTCAAAACAGCTGCTCTGGAGGGAAATTGGCAGGTACTATTGGGTGACATCGTACCCCAGAACGTGCTGAGGGCTGTGAAGTGCAGAACCTTCACACTGGTCTGGGGCAGCTGCAATGGGGGCATTCCATCTAGGCCTCACAGCACGCTGAAGGGCAGAGACCCTCTCACCAGAGAACTGTGTTAATGCTTGCTAGTATTTCACCAGTGTTTCTCCATCTTGTCCAGAAATACATTGTTTAAGAGAACCTAAAATAAAGCGGTGGCTCTCCAGTAGCCCTGTGCTGGGTGTTGACACAGTTAACACAAGAGCTGAGTGCTGTTTGTAGGGGAGGATACAAACCCTGCAGCTCCTCTGGTAAACGTGGTAGGAAGGACTCTCACCTCTAACTTGTTGTTACGAGAATGGAAGTGTGTTCAGTGATTCCTGAAAGGTGAGAATGTGCAGAAACAGTCTTAAAAGAAACTGAAGTTGAGAACAGCCAAGTTGCAGTTAGGAATAAATGGCAGTAACTTGTAATGCCCACATCAGCTGCTACTCTCTTATCTATTTTTTTTCCTGGAGAAACTTGGGTACATCAGCAGATGGTACAGTTTGGGGAAGATGCTGCTCGCAGAATGTTCACTGCTGTATAATCTGCTCTGACTTTCCTAACAGCAGGGAGCTCTCCTGCACGGGTACGATTGCAGTAACCTGCAGGCCGTGTCCTCTGCAGTCTCTGTGAAACATTTTCACAGTGGAGTGTAATTAACCCTGACTCAAGGTGTATCCTCTGCTGTCCCACTTGCCAGAGATGGAGTAGTCAAGTAGAATTTGCCCTTTTATTTCCTGTGGGTGTTGAATAACTGTGTTGTATGGCAAAGCACTGAAATCCACTGCCTGGCTCTGCACACAAATAAGGCAGCTCAAGTATAAAGAGGCTTCTTGTAGTTGTGATTCCATTTGCTTCCATTGAGAAGAAAAACCCCAAAGTATTTTTTCTGTCAGTAGTCAGTGAGGACCCATATTTACTGTTCTACAGAGGGAGAGATAGAACAGCATTTGCCCTGTCATTCTGCATGGCTTTAAAATGATGCTCAAAGTCAAGATTAGACAGCCATCTACTGCTCATCAGATCAGTGCTTACAGTTGCACGTTTTTCTTTATTTAAATTTCAGCTTTCCTCTCAGAAGTCAGCATCCCTTTTCCTGGCATGGACTTCACTTTTGAGGGGCAGAAAACAAGTGGATCTTCAAGATGAGAAAACATCATGAAGTATCATCTGATTGGAATCTGCATTCTGGAGTGCTTCTCCAGAAATCACGCTATCCAGATTTTTCAGGGCTTTATAAGTTTAAGTTACAGAGTGAACAGAACAGTTCTACAGAGTGATTCTGGCCAATTTTCTTTGGCCCGCTCTCTTTATTTTATAAATAATATATATTTTTTATTGAAAATAGGTAAAATGTACTGATGCAAGGTGTTGTGGTTTAGCCCCAGCCAGCAACAAAGAACCATGGGTCTTTCGTTCATTTCGCACCCCTATCCACTCCCCCCCCAGCAGCAGGATGGGGGGAGAATTGGAAGAAAAAGGCAAAAATTGTGGGTTGAGATAAAAGCTGTTTAAAAGAACAGCAAAGGAAAGAGGAAAACTACAATAACACTGATAGAGGAATGTACAAAACCGTTAATGTACCACTGCTCACCCACTGGAACCCGAAGCCCAGCCCTCTGATTTCCCTCTCTGCCCCTTCTCCCCCCCAGCTGTGTACTGGGCATGATGTCACATGGTAGGGAATACCCCTTTGACTGGTGCTCGACGTGTCCTGTCCCAGCTCCCTCTGAAATTTAACCTTGTACCCACCAGAACCAGGACACAAGGGCATTTCCAAAGGCCTTTTAACTTTGCAAACATCAGGGACTCAAGTTCTTGAAATTCTTCCAAGCCATAATATTCTTGGGAATGGTGTTTATTTTGAGACTGATTCTCCAACCCTCTGACAAGTAGGATTTTCTAATGTGTTTAAAGTTCTGTCTGAGTCAGTTCAACTCGATGAGAGACAGACCCTCTTAAATTTGGCACTAAATTGATAGTTGGACGTGTGTTGAAAGAAAAAGTGCTGAACGCGCACACATAAACGTGCAGCTGTATACAAGAATAAAATATCCACATTGCCAGTATCAAGATTCAAGAATATTGTGGCCATAGATTATTTTTTATAATTGTTTTAGGAGGGTGTGATCATTTTAGAGTTTGAGTTATACTGCCCTTTGAGCCCAATCCTACTTGCAGGCACCTAAAATGTGAAAGGGAACTTTAGACACTGCATTAATTCCCAGGGTTACAATATCAACTCATTCCTGGATCAGGTTTGATGGAAATTTGTGTGTTTATGGAGGCAGAAAAGAAGATGTAAATTCAAAACACAAGTTGGAAATGTGCACTGAAAGTTTAGCTCCAACAGTAGTGTTTGGAGTTTATGCTCCGCAAAGGTGGTTTCAGTCCCATAATGCTGAAGAGGTGAGTCATGTGTTGAACTTTTTCAGACTTCTTAAGTAAATGTAAAAACTGATGGTTTAAAGTTTTTTTTTTTTTTAGCACTAAGAGGTGATCAGATTTTTTTCTTCCTCTTGCTCCATTTGCAGTCAAAGGGATGTATCACTGGGTTTATTCTGTGGAACGGAACTGAGAGTTTTCTGGCAGGTTTATATGCATTTTTCTAGACCTGAGTCTTTTTTTTATCAGCACGGTTCAGACCTGGTGACTCCATCACGTCTGAATTGGGTGCATGCTTAAAGCATTAGCATACTGCCTTTAAGATCATTTGTTACCATTTTCTATCTCATTTTTGTGCTTATCACCCCATTTGTGTTGACAGTGATGACAGAAGCAGTTGCCCGTGTCATGAGAAATTACCTGGGTAGTATCTGTTTGGTGGCAAGGGCTTTGTCTCCATACTGAATCCTTTTTTCCTCTGTTTGCTTTGCTGCTGCTACCAGTGGGAATACGCTTGTGAGACAGAAGAGAGTCTTGCAGCAATTTTCTGTCCGTAAGAGTAGAGGTTTAATGACCCGGTATAAGCAGTGCCCTGCAGACAGGTATTTCATACATCAGACAGTGACTGCTGTAAAATGTCTTTATTGCTGAAGGTCGGTTGTTGGGAGTCAGGGTGGGCTCTGCCAGGCTCGGTGTGGGTGACTCGCTCTTCTCAGAGCGGGACTGAACACCCTCAGTGTTCCTGCTTGAACCATGTCTGCTGGGGGGTTCTGTCACCTAACGGCCCTTGAGTGCTGAAACTACTTCTTGTGTCAATCTAAACCTGTGTTTCTGGTGTCAGTCTCGTGGTGGACCTTAAGCTGTGTTTGGTGAAAGATGGCAGTAGAATTAATCATCTCATTGTTAGCAAAACCTCTTCTGGAGGGGGCTCTTGAGAGCAAGATGGCAGCTAAACACAATAGGAATGTCTGGGAATTTAGCACCAACAGAGGTGCTGTTTGTGCCTTTTAAAACTCTAATTTCCTTGTATAGAAAACCAGGAAGATGTGTTGGTGACATTCTGTTCTGTTCTGTCAACTGAAGTGTATTTAAGATGGGGATATCAGAGCTGTGTCTGGAGCCATGTGGATTTACAGGAGTCTTTGGAGCAGGTTCTTGTACCCTGTCTGGATTTGGTTCTGTTTACAGCCCTGTCCTTCTTTCGGTGTCACTTCTGCCCAGCAGCAGCTGAGTTACCAGCAGGCTCTGCAGCTGCAGCACTGGTCACTAGGTAGTGTGTAAAAGCAGTTTTTATCTTCTGGTTATTATTAAAGCAGCTGTCTTTATGATACGACAGCTATCCAGCTCAGGTTCAGAAACCATTTTAAAGGTTTCCAAGTAACTGACTCTTACTGAGTAACCTTTCTTGTAATTCATTACGGCCACTTTTTCCCGTTCCTTCAGAGTGGCTCAGCCTCACTTGGTTGTAACAAACTCTTGCCCAGGTGGAAACCATAAATATTTTGGTAGCTTTGGAACCACTTCGTATCAATATTGCCATGTCAGATTGTTAAAAGCTTCAGAATGAAACATGAAACAAATGGAAAAGTTGTGTAAAAATGAGGCAGAACAAAATGTGGAAAAACCATGTGTCTGAGTGACTGAACAAGGGCGATATCCTGTGCTGTGCCTGGCACTGGTTCTGTTTGTGCCGTGGCTCAGTCGGGCAGGTTCCTTGGCATCCCGTGGTCCAGGCTGGGTGCAGAAGCTGCCCCGAGAGGCGGGTGTCTGGGGACACAGCCCCAGCCTCGCGTTTCCTGGTGACATTGTGTGTCTGTGTTCTTCAAGGCAGCACAGAAATGAAGAGTCGGATCCCTGTGGGGAGACTCAGTGTTTCTCAAAATCCTGCTGTGAGACCTCTTTGCTGGGAGCATTATCGCAGCTGATGCTGCAAACATGATCACAGGTGGCCTACTAAGGAGAATACGGTTTTTCTAATTAGCATTTTAGGCCTTTTTAAAAAGGCTGTTAACTAGAGATCTGGGCAGTGTAAAAGCAGTAATTTTGAGTGCACCCCCTGCTACCTGTGGTTCTAATGCTGGGCTCCTCTTTACTTTTTAAATTTACTTTATTTTGTCCTTAGCTTCTGAAAGAACGTTGCGTACAAATAATGTGATAAATGCAGGATGCATAAAGTTCTGTCAAATATGCTATGTAAATGCACTGGAAAATAGAAATTCCTCAGGCTGTCTGTAGTCGCTGCCACAGATAACAAAAGAGAGAAAGTGCTCGGCTGAGCTCACGGTCGATTTTTAAAAACCCAAATAGCTCTTTAAGAAGTACACCCACTACAGCATCTACCGTGTGCTCTGTCCCTCCCTCTAATCCGCACCCAAGGGCTGTCCCTGCCATCACTAACTCTAAGGGCTGTGCAATCAAACCTCTCCCTTACCTGTAGCGTGACACACCTCGCCTGCCTGACAGAGTTCAGTTGTGTGACCGTGGTGCTCCCTGAGCTGTGTAACTGCAGCTGGGGCAGTGGGGAAGCAGAAGCACCACTCTCTCCACCCCATCCAGGGGGCCATTTTCTCTGGCTTTGAATCAGATCTACAGTACAGAATAAAGCAGAAAATCAGTGGTTTTCAGCTCAGGGTCAGAAACGGCTCTTGTCTGTAGAGGATCTTGTGCTGCCAGCAGAGCTGGAGGTGTAGGAACACCTGTATTTAGGGAACAACTTTGTTGGCTGAGCTTAAAGTAGCCAGGGGAGGTGGATCTGACTGCCAGCAGGAGAGTGCTCTTCACATGGCCACAAGGCTGCTCTGTAGAGCAGATAGGGTATTCTGATGAGACCATGGAAGCTGGAATGGGACCACCAGATGCTGACTGTAATTCTGCCATCGGTCATCAGGTAGTAATACATGTAGCTTGAGTGACAGCAGCGCTGCAGGTGTCTCACCAGGAGCGTCTCTGAAAGTGTGGAACGCAGCCATGGGTTTGTTAGCTTGAATCAGGGCACAGAAGTGTGTTCCACCTCAGCACAGCGTGTTCTACCTTGCCTTTGGCATGTTTGTTGTTTGTATTTCAGCATTTTCCAAATGCATTTCCTGTCCTTCATGTGAGCGAGGACTTTCTCTGCTATAAGCAACTTTTCCAAGTGCTGTCATTGTGTGACAGAGGAACGTGCTTGCTGGATCTTACTGTGGTACCTGCCACCACTGTCTTCTCCCTGCACTCCTGGGTTAATGCTCCGCAGTAACTGACCACCAAGACCCACCTCTGCACCTCTCTTCCCTCTCCCATTATGTTCAGGTACACTGTACTCTTAAAAAAAAAAAAAAAAAAAAAAAAAAAAAAAATATTTAATTTATCAGTTGGTAAATGGAGAATCCAGAAAAGCAGAAGCAAATCTTCATTATTCCCCTAGTAGCACATTGGACGCAGCACAAACTGCAATTACTGAAGACCCACTTTCTAAATAAGAACAACTCTTCAATTCAAAATTGATTTCAGTGTCTTTGGAGGTGTGAAGGCGACACACATGCACGCACACACACACACAAATTAACCACAATAACTCTCAATTCCAAGGAGAGTATTATATGAAAAAGAAGCAGCTTTCCAAAAAAAAAAAAAAAAAAAAAAAAAAAGAAACCATCATATTGATGTTTCTATGGATAGCGTTGTGGTAAATCCTCTCCTTGGCCAGCGAGTCCTGTCCAAGGAATTAGGACTTCTGTGAGCCTCACTGCACTGAAATTTTGTGTTGTCTTTTGCCGAATTGATACAGTATGTTTTTTTGGGTAGAATAAGATTGTATTCCTTTAAACAGGAAGCAGTACTGTGTGTTTTTAGTAGGCTGTACCTCGTGCATGTAGTGTACTGTCATTGACGGGATCCGGGAAGCTTCCTCGGAGCCCTAGAACCACGAATGTTTACTTCCTGGAAGAAACCAGAAATGTGATTCAGCAAAATCCATACCAGCTGGTGTGGACTCAAAGCACAACTTAGTGTTACCATACCTGATGCATAAAGTCTGTAACATAATATGAATGTAAAGTGTCAGGGGAAATAAAAAAAACAACTTCCTTTTCTTCCCCGAAGGCAGATCTAGAGAATGACGTGCTCATTCGGGCCCGCGCCGTCGTGACACCAGCAGAGAGATCTGCTGTTTGCGTAGCTGGCTCATTCACAAAGGCATTGAACTAGCAGGCTGAGGAGGTACTGTTGACCTTGTTTATTAAGCCAGAATTAATTAACTCAAAGGGTCACGTTTTCATTTCAGTGACTTCTGTGATACAGATTTTTGAAACCGATTGATAGTACTTGAAAATACCCTCATTTTGCTGATATTTTTCCAATTTTATCAGCTTCTGGTTTGCTACAGAACGTTTGCAAAAATAAACTAGTTCTGAAACCACCAGCTGAAGCATTTGCATGGTAGAGTGGCTTTTTTCATGAAAAGTAATGGTCTGTCAAACAGGTTGGCAGCTGTGAGCATTGCAGGGCTCTGGCATCACCATGTACTCCTCCTGCTTAATGCTTTATTTCCTTTTCTGGCAATTAACATCGAGATCAGTCCCACCGTTACGCAGTTTTGTTCTTGTCCTTTTTCCATCTCCCTTTGAGAGAGTCATTCTTCTTCCTCCTGAATATATAGTTAAAATATTATCGGCTTTCAGCTCTTTGTGCCACGTTCTTGGATCCTAAGGTGAGTAGGTGTCATTTTAAGCAGTTGTGCCACGTGTTTTATTTGTAACTAATCTCAGTGTTTGTCAGGTATCAGTTTGCGATTGTCATCGCTTGGGCTGAGCTTGCTTTGCTTACAGCACTGGGATCCAACTTCCTGCTCTGATTCTTTCCTAAAAATCTAATTTCTTCATTTTCTGGCTTCAGTTTGGAATGTAAGCCTTGTGAAATAAAACCTAAGTTTACATTTCAGACATGAGCCTGTAAGTTGGTAATGCTTTCATGCTGCTTAAAATATTTTTTGTGTATATGAGGTTTTAAGATTTCAAAAAAAAAGAAGAGTTATGTTAAGGAGGGGGAAAAAAAAACAAAACAAAACAAAAAAGCCAACAAAAAGGACAAAGGTATCACCTTTGCTTCATGCTTCAGTTGTGCTTAAAAAGAATGCCTGCTAGTATCAAACAGCTCATACGACACGCGGGTACTTTACCTGAAGGCATTCCTGCTCTGTCAGTACTTACTAGACTTGAACTTTTCTTGAGCTAAACCTTGGGCTAAATCCCACGGGAAGCCTGGAAACAAACCAGCCAACCTCTCCTCCTGTCTCCTCGCTGAGCTGGGGAAGGTGTGCGCTGCACCTTCTCTTTGTGAGAGATACAAAGCACCAGGGATTCTTTAAAGTGTTGGTGCAACATTTTTCTCTCCTGCCTTTTTCTGGGGGATCCAGGAGCTTCTAGGATTTGTGAAATTCCCCGTAACAACACCTGTTGTCCTGCTGTAATGAACAGCCGGGGCTGGTGCGAGGTGGCCTCCCCTGAGAGGAGGCTGGGGTTTGTGATAAAGAGCTTGTGTGAGGAGGTAGGTGGAACCTGTTGTGCTGTTTGGAATCAGCTCCGCGTGCGGGTGTTCTTCTTCTGCAGACATACATGGGTGTGTGCTTCCTGCTGTGCTCACTGACAGGCTAAGCTCAGTCCAGTCCTTCCCAACCGCACTGCTGGAGCAGGGAACTTCTAACAGCTTCCCTTTTGCTAGTAACATACAAAATAGAAAAGATCATGTTATTTTATAAATTACTGTATCTGTCCAGGTGTTTTTCATCTGAAAGTGACTCATTTATGTTTGCTGTAAAAATGGGTTCCTTTAAAGATAAAAGTAAATTAAATCTCAGGATCAGATAATGGCAGACCTATCTGTATGTTAGAATTCAGCATTAGAAGGAGGTTGTTTTCCTTGCTTCGAAGTGGGTTTCGCTGCCTGGTGTTTGGTGCAGGCAGGGAGACTCACACCGAGTAGAACACGAGCTGCACAGCTCCATCTGGGAGCTAACACACTACCTCTGCACTGCGCCAGAACGCCCCGCCGCGCTGGAACACCCTTTTCCTGTCAAGGAAGGCTGGCATTGTGGGCTCTGTGCCAATAACTGCTACATCACCCAGAACAGTAACATAAATTTCATTGTAGTGATTCGTTACTACATTCAGCTGCTTTTTAGATAGATTGGTATATTATAAGTACCTTGCGTACAATCAGCAGTGTCCGGTTCAGGTAAGGACGTGCCACTCAGAGCTGTGTTGTTTTAATACTGATTTCTCACCCCTTAATTTAATAGGAAGTAAATATTTTCCAGTGAATGTCACCAAGGGTCTGCTGATGGTATCTGGGATGTTTAGTTGGGTTCAGTTTAATGCCGCTGCCAGCATTGAGACTTTTGATATCCTATGGGTTTTTACAAAAGTTTTGGATACTCGTTTTTACCGTTGGACAAACATTCTGTCTTTATCAGGAATGCTTTGTGTACGTTTCACTAGCGTTTTCCAAGTGTTTGTATAGTTTCTACAGCTGAATATCCTGTACATTCTGCTTTGTCATTTTCTATTATGGTTCATACTAGAGAGCCTGTGCGCTTTATACTGCGCTGCAGGCAAGGTTCGCATTAAAACCATTTTTGGCTAATTTATTATAGTTGTGAATGGTTATTTCCTATGACTTAGCCTACGCTCAGGCTAAACATTCTGTCTCTTGGAAGCTTTACACAACTTTAATTAATTGAAATTACTGCTTGGAGTGGGGAAGGTTCTTTATCTGTGTCAAAAAAAGGATTTGGGAAATGCTGCCCCACGTCTTACGAGGAGCTGCTTGGGGCAGCCCAGGCCTTTGCATCCCACTCCTCTGCAGAGAGGTGTGAGACAGCTGGTAATCCTGCACTCTGCAATATGGAGATATTTAAAAAATTATAATGGACTATATTGTCTTTATATGTAAGTTTTTCCAAACTTATAGTAAGGTAAGATAGTAGCTAGTGTAAGTGTTGGATGCTGTGTACTTGGTGCCGGGGATTTAAAGCCCAAGGAAGAATTTGGCTACAGATTTAGGTTTAATCCAATCAATGCAGTAACTGTGGTGAGCATTTTGGAAGGGTGCTGAGCCATGAGGGCCATATTTATCTTTTGACTTTAAGGCCTGTTGCTCTATGAGCAGAGCTAGAAACTGAGTTCAGCTTTTTGTTACAGCTTGCCTTTCTTTAAAATGGTTAGTGATATGTGCAGAATTCCTGCATCCCGTGCTGCTCCCACCCGTTTCCCAGGGTACAGGCACTGCCACAGGAACCTGCTTTATTCAGCCCCACTGAGCAAGACAACTGTGGATGTTTTACTATTTGAAAAATAATCAATACAGAGCAAAATTGAGAGTTGTCTCTTTAGGTTCTTGGCCACCATCCAAAGACTGAAATTGTGCCAAAAATTCAATGTAGCTGCTAAGAATTACACCAAGTTCCCCACGTGCCCATCATCTGGAAGCATTAGGAGTGGCTGTCCCAGCTGACCTGGGGCGATGTGACCGTTACCACTAGAAATGAAGTACACACCTCTGATTTAGTTGTTTTATTTTGCTCTCGCAAGCAGCCACAAGACAGGCCCTAGAAGAATAAATAAGTTAAAGCAGAGAATGCAGCAATTTGTACAACCCAACATTGAGACGCTTGACTCCGCGATGAGCGTGCTGTTACGGTACCTGATTCAGGGCTCAGGCAGTAACTGCCCACAACTAATCTAAGTCAAGTATTTCCCCCTTTGGCCAAAAAGATTTTTAAACATGCCCTCAGCCAACTCAACAATAATAAAATGTAGAAAAAAAACAACCAAAAACCTCTGTAATGTCATATAGTCATTTCCGTTTGTTCCGAGTGTGTCAGTCTGTTCCAAAATACTTCTGTCCAAAGTGTGTTGGTGCAACAGGATGAACTTCTGTAGTTAAAATTGTGATCTCTGGGAATTCCTGAATGATGGATTTGGCACCTTTTGAGAGAGAGGGCAAAGGCAACAATGACTACAGCACTGCAGCTGTGTTTCAGCTCCACATGTTAAACCATCATTAGCAGAATTCCGTAGGTAAGTCAGGCTCTGTTCTTCCATCTCCGCTTCATGTTTCTGCCTGAGCTGACTATGAGGAAAAACTTCCTGAATTTAGAGGACTGTTTGAGTTTTTTTTATTTGGATTTTTCTTTTCTGCCCCGTACTCGTATACCCCCAGTCCAATCACCAAAGCAGTTACAGGCTGCCAGGAATAACTCTGCAGTTCAGTTGGCTTTTCTGATAGTGATTTCTGCCACAGCCAATTTTTCAAACAACACATAAGATCCATTTTCCAACTTCACACAAAGAGATGTTCCTTTTTTGGCTGCCCTTTAACAAGTTCAGATCTTTACCCTGCAGGCAGGACAGTTCTGTAGCTTCATTCACCTCACGCTCCTTAGAGAACTGCCATTCTCTTGGTGGCAGAACAACCCAACACCACCCCTGGGCTGTTGCCATGCACAGTGACAGCCGGACTGGCACTGCTTGTCCACCACTGCAGCATCTTGGTGCCTGCCAGTGCTGCAAATTCCTGATTTTAGAAATACTTCACTATCTGCAGTTTTGCCATTAGGTGTAATAGGCTTCTTCCCTTCTGCTAGCCCCCTCCACTGCCCACACCAAACACACTGCTGTTCACTCTCGCTTCTACAATTCAGCCAAAAAAAACCCAAGAACACCCCTCTCTTCTGAGCAAAGCGATGCTGCTATTGTTATTGCAAAGGAACAACTCTTCACTGCTGTCTGAAGCACGTGACTGATGTAACTCTTCTGTCCCCCTTGCACCCCTTCAACTTACCATGAGGTGTGGAGAAGAGGCTCAGCAGGATAATGACACTTGGTTGTACGCCATGTTCCACAAGAACTTTGACGGCCTCAATGACAGTATTACCAGTACCTAAAAGGGGAAAAGGGGAGATTTTTATATTTTTTTCGTCCCCCAGTTAGAAGAACTTCTAGGCCATCCAAGACTGTCTGTGTTGACATTGGTGTGGGGCTGAATGATGAGACTGTCCTTTCCCACTGGAAAACTCTCACCTCTGCACGTATTAATTGTGGAAAACTTTGGTCTCCTCTCTTCTTCCTCTCTACTCTGAAACAGGTTTTAAGCACTGAAGTCTGTGGATTTTATTGAAGCCCTGAGGCAAGATAGCTCATCTAAAACAGTAAAATGGCAATTAGGAGTTCCATGTATAGAACCAGAATTAAATCTTAGAGTGGAGAAGTTGGGGTTTTTTGGGTAGTATGAACTGTATTTGATTTTAAAATATTTTACTCCTAGGATTATAATATTAATCCCAAAATGCCTTTTAATAGATTGAGGAAAACTACTGTTTAAGTCTTTTCTCATGGCAAAAATTAAAAAAACTAAATTTCTATCAAGTCTTAATGCTTCAACCTTTCTCACAAAAGCAGGCACGCCCAAATGATTTGCTCTGCATTTGTGCTGGTGTGGGCTGACTAATACATATTCTGGCATAGCCTGGTAAATTCCCTACTCTGTCACCTAAACCAAGCAAAAAACCTCATTAAAGCCTCTGAAATTTGGAAATTTTCCCCCAAATGCCGTGCACTTACTGTTCAGCTGAGTGGAACTGTACATAATGATGAAAGACACTCACTTAGTATTGGGTACATGAGAAGAACTTTTCTCCTGTAAATATCTGGTGGAAACTTTGCATAGTACACTTTGGCTCTCTGCGTCTCCTCGTCGCTCTGGATCAGGATTTTTCCTATGCGGATGGATCTGCAGCAGTCCCGTAACCCTTGTTCCATTGCCTCTCCTCAAAAAGAGCAGCAAAAACCAACATTGTTACATGCTAAGAAACGGCAGAACTGGAAGATGCTACGATTAAATAGCCAGTCCTAATACTCTACTGGTGAAGAGTTCTAAAAGGGAGATTTCTTTTTCTCAGTTCTAAGAGTTAAAAGCACTTGAAGGTATTTTCCTTTTTTCTCTGCTTAGACAGAAAAACGAGTCTACTCGGTGTCACTTGGCTCCTGGGTATGAGTGTTCCCACGCAGCTCTAAAAGGTGAGAGCTGGAAACATCAAAATAAATGCCATCTTTGAACTCTGCCCAGAGACACTGCGGTGCAGGAGGCTGTGGAGCCACTGGATTTCACATCAGAGATACAAAGGTTTCTGTAGCATTGGGCAAAATAACAGAGACTCCACCACCACCAAGCAAGGTTTGTTTGAAGACCGGTCTCTGAGCAGAAGTCCTCAGCAGCAAACAAGACCATTTGGCCTGGCCACTCACAGTTAACCATTGCTAGGGAAGAGGCCAGATGAAATCTGTTGCAGCTGTTTGTCTCCTAAAAAGTTAACAAAAGCGATTACTTGATGTTCTGTGATCAAAGCTACCTCAGAAAGAACAACTGGCAGCTTTGGGTAAATTTTTGCTGTGGAGAAGTGTGGCTGCATATTTTTGAAAGGAAGTTGGTTACAGGTTTCCAAACCGTTTAATTGGTGCTCATTCAACAACCAGAAACCGCCTACCACTTCTCATGATGCTGACTCCACAGTTTCCCTTTTCAAATCTGACGCCTTCATACTTGTGTCCTGTGGGAGGAAAGGAACCAGATGTCAGTGGCAGTGACTGCTCCTTCAGCCCCACCTTCAGGCCCCTTTGGGGGACGCTGTTTCAAGTGACCTTGGTGTGAATGGAACTGAGTGCCCTGAATACCCAGGGGACAACAACAAGTTCCACGTCTCTCAACAGGTGGCATGAACCAATCTGCACACCAGACCCTGCAGCCCTCAAACAAGCAATGGGAAGAGACAAAATCATAACTGGTAAAGAACTGGTGCTTTTTCTCACAGGTCGTGTCAGCTAAGCGGCACAGAAGTGATCCTTTCCAAGTACATGTTTTATAATGTGGGTATTCTGTGCTTATTTTAAATGAGGGACGCTATGCAAAATAAACAGCATGTCCCCTAAATGCAGGTAAATGCAGAGTTAGAACTGCAATATGATGCTACAATGTCATTGCGCTCTTATCACTGCAAGAAAAAGGTAGGCAATGGTATGTGTATGAGAGGGACACTATCGCTGGTACCGTGAGCTCCAGTCTCTTGCTAATTCAAAGGTAAAGACAGCAAAGCAAGATTGTCCCAGTCATCGTTCTTTGGATCTAACCCCAGAAGCCAGTAATGAGCTTGCCCAGCACCACTGCTGGGAAGAACACATACTGGTGAATTTTCGTAACAGTTTTGCAAGACTAATTCCAATCCTAGTAAAGTGACAACTGCATGACTGTATGTTTTGCTCAGCTGTGGTGTTGCACACCTTCTAGCTCTTTAAATACCAGAAGGGACCTTAACTCTACCCTGAATGTGAAACTGTTTGAGCCTCAAGCTCCCCGGGGAAGTGGTCAGGGCACTGAGCAGTTGGATTTGATGATCCTTATGGGCCCCTTGCAACTCGAGATATTCTGTGATTCTTGTATTTTTTTATATTAGTTAAGCTTCCACTTCCAGTCCTGCCTAGGGAAGGCGTGATTTCCCACATACCTGTTGGAGTGGTCACGGTACATTCTGTGTAGGGCAGTTGATTCAGTCCCTCTTCAACCACGAGTCTGATCTGTAGAACGAAAGACATCGGTCAGCTTAAAGAGATTTGTTATCTATGGAGGTAAGATACTAAATGTTTGTATTTTTTACAAGTACTGGGTGAACACTTAACAGCCTGAACGGTCTAAAAGGGTCACTTTAGAGACCTTTTGGGGATGATGCCTATGTTTTGTCCAGTAATCAAATGAAGGCATTACCCAAAATAAAATAGGGGAAGGGGAGGGGTTGATTGGCAATCATAAAACTTTATTTATATCTGGCAGGCATAGGCATCACAGACAATTTTTTCTCAACAAATGAGTAAAGCATCAATGTAGCTTCATTTTGCTGATATAGAAAATACTAGTGAGAAAAAGGGCAAATTCACCCTCTCTCAGTTCCCTATCAGCCCGGCTCCCAGATCTACTTTCACATCCGTATTTCTATGACTAAACTGCAGTGGGGCTGCCCAAGAGCCACAGGAGCTGCAGCAGCAACGTAAATGCACCACCGAGTGCCCAAAGACAAGTCAGCAGACCTAGAAATCTCTTTATCACCTTCTGCTGGCACCTGCCAGCTGTGGTGATGATGGGACGCTCTGCCAAGCACCTGTGCTTTCACACAGTACAGATGGCCCAGTCCAGCAGGGACATCTCCACTGGAGGTGCAGGGTAGCAGCCACACATCCCTCCAGCCTTCAGTGGCCAGCAAACCTCTAGCTCTCCCTGGGTGCTGGCCCCCCAGCTGTACCCCAGGCAAAGTTACCAAACGTATTCATCTGAACCCAGAATGATTGCCCAGGAAAGATGCTCTGGGTGTTAAAGACGTAAAAATTCTCTCTACTAGTGAGTTAAAGAGTCATGGGCCACAACTGCTCAAGGAAAGCTACTGCCAAGCCAAGATGAAACCCATTAAGCAAAAGTCACCGTAGGATGGCAGAAATGAGGTGATTGCTCCTGGGACTGAGCAAGTACCACTGCTCCCTTCAGACATTTCTTATTCCAGAAACAGAGCAGACTGGAAGATTTTTTCTGTTCTTCCATTCTGCCCTAGTTTCCAGCACACAGGCAACCTCTACCAGGAATTAGAAATGGTCCCTTAAATTTACAATCCCTCCTTGAACATATTTCTTGTTATTTTAGTGCTGGTACAACGGCCTGAACTTAACTGATCCCCTGGAAGATGCAGTTTCTAGCAAGGAGGGGGAAAAATCAGTGCTTCCCTCAGAATGGCGCAGGATCTCCAAGTAAAGTGAGAAGGTAAGTGGGAGAGGTCCTTCGCGCTAATTAACGACAACAAGGTACAGTCAAAACTGTTAAGGGTTTTCCTGTCCGTATTGGAATAGCCATAGTTTATCTCTTTTTTAAAACACAGATTAGGGATGTAGTGTTTCTTTTTAATTCAAATAAGTTGGCAGAAATGAATGCTCCTTAAAGGGTGCAACATGATGGGAACCTAATACAATGTAAGACAAGAAGGTTAACCAGAAACCCTTCCTGTGAAAGGAGTACTGGTGGGGAAGCAGCCTGACCCCTGGAATACAGACCTCTACCCTGTAAAGGTGGGGGATTGCTGGTGTTGACCTTTGTTGGCTTCCTGAATCTCATTTGCACACTTAAGTACGTGAACAATGTGAAACCACAAAACCCAGGAAGGAGGACACAGTTGAGCTAGCCTTTCATGGGTGGTGGATGTTTCCTGGGCTGTTCCTACTCGTCCAATGAACTCTAAAGGACATGTGTCTATTTAAATGGTATCTGCTGAGAACTGCTGGCACAGAATGCAGTTGGGGCTGCGACTTTTTGCCTGTCCATTATGAAGTACTATTGGCAAAGAAGGCACCCCAGTCAGTCGCTTGATCTACGAGTTACGAGTGATGGAATTTGTTGGCTTGAGCCTTGGCAGTTCTTGGTGAATGAGAATGCAAGAATCATCCTCAAGAAGGGAAAAGAAGGGGGAAAGTGGAAAAGCTGCAAAGATAAAAAGCACTGCAGTCACAATCTTAGGTTGCGGCCATATCTAAGCCCTGAGCAAACCTGGATCAGGCAGGGATTAAGATTGGTTTTATCACAGGAAACCTGCCTGCTGTGCAAATGGTGCTGGGAACCGAATGGCCTCTGGACTCATTGCTTCTAGAGAAGGAAAGACAGACTTTCCTTGTTAATGAATGTGGATTTGTAAACAGCGAACACCCTCGTGAATACAAGGAAGTATATGTGTGGGAGTGAGTACTTGGTTTTCTTCAAGCATGTAATTTAAATGAGATAAATGTTGCATTCCCAACCGTCTTTGTTCTGACTTACTAAAATGTGTGAAAACTTCAAATTGCTCTGTCCCTGCTGGTAACTGCCGTATGGCTAGCAACAAATTCCCAGGCTGGACGCCGCCAGAGCTACTAATCTAATATACAACAAGTGCCAGGAGGCATTTTGCATGCAAGCAATTGTTAACATCTAGACTGTAAGAAATAGTACAGCTCTCTTCACGAGATCAAAAGTACTGTTTCAAAGTGAAACTGAATTATCTCTAGCCTCTGTGCATCTTTTTTTGAACAGTATTCTCTTATTAATGCTGCTCTCTGTCCTGAAGGTAGCTGTGTTTGATAATAACATGGTTTCTGGAACCCTTTGAAATGAAAGCAGTCTGTAACAGAGCACAGATGTTTCTATATGGAAAGTTGCTGTCAAACTGCAATTTCCTTTGTGTAGAAAAGTTGCCCTCGCACCACCATTATTCTAGCCTGAAAGACCCATTTTATGGAAGGGTTGCAAAGTATAATACCAAGAAGAAATTCTTCACCTACCAAACGATCAGCAGAAAATACGAAGTCTCCTCTACTGGATTTCCTGAAAAAGGTAATAATTTATATTTTAAATTGGGGAATAATTTTAGGAACACTGCTTAAATATAATATTAATTCAAGGACAATATATTCTAAAGGCAGTTTAGAGAAAAGTCTCTGCTACCATATACAAAATTTATCCCACAGAGATTCTGCTTCATGGGTTTCCTGCTTGGTGGCAAAGACTGAGATGCAGTGAGCTAAGGCAAGGGTTTGCTCTTACTACTGGCAACGTTGCTGCACTGTACCAGTAGCAATTAAAGCATGAAAACATAAGGGTGATATTCTGTAGGTTTTCCATTGTACCACTGTTCCAGCTCAGCTCCAAAACGCCTCACGAGCTCAGATGTGCATCAACCCGGTTCATTCCCTCCAGCTCTAAGTAAGAGCGCGTGGCTTTGTGCGTTCTTAAGTCAATCAGAAACCATGGAACAGTGACAACGCAGATCCCAAGCCCTGAGACTGAGTTCACACACCTGATAAGCAGGACATATCTCTTATCTTATCTGGAATTCATTCATGGTGTGACTAGATTAGTGAATCTGAGACTAAAATTAGCAGGGATTAACGAGTATTCCCATGAAAACACCTCTCTGCTGTTTTATTAGCTTGGTGCAACTCTTTGCTCATGTGACCGTATGGCTTCCTGCCCATCCAGAAGGCAGAACAAGCTCACTTCCTCCTGCTACATACTGTGTACGTATGCCATGTTAAAAGCCTGAATTTCAAAAGAGTGTCAGCCTAATCTAATTTCTTTCCTTGTGCTAATAACATATTAATAAAAGCACTGGGTTTGTTTTCTTCCTTCTTTCTGGTAATAACAGGATATTCATAACTTTCTGCTACTTTAACATTAAGCAGAAAGGCAATGCTCAAAAAAAAAAAACTCAACCCCCAAACTGCAAAAAATAACCCCCAAAACCCTACAATAATAGAAATTGATTTTGTTAAGATTTTTGAAAGAATTACTATTTCCATCTGTGGTGTGTATACAGATTTTTTAAAAAGGGAAGTATCAAATTGTGTAGGTGGCATATCGATGTTCCTCCAGACCAGACTATGGCCTTTCATAAAATTTAACCATATTGCTTTAATGGATGGTAAGACAAACCCAACAAAGTCACAACCGTGGTTTTGACTGCAAAGCAATACATGCTTAGAGTGAATACTCTGTGTTATTAATACAGATTACTAGGCTTTAAATTAACTACTCCGTCCTTGCAGAGAGATACAGATGTTTTTATGCACAGTTCACTGAATACCCTTAGTCAGTTATGCCTGTTTTTTGAGGGGAGAAGGACAGCAGAAAACAATAGTGCATAAAAATGAGAGACAAATAATAATAATACTGAAAATGACAGACCTCTTGTACACCGGCAGCTGGAAAGCTGTGACCAGATTTCAAGCCCCACATCATATGAGAATTGCTAGGGGCCAGAAAAAAAGGCTTATGTGAAAACACTGTAACTGTTCACCTTAAATACCAGACAGAAGTATAGAAAATAATGATCAGTGGTGGACTACAAACTGTTTCACCTTTTTAATCAAGTAACAAGGCAACATCTAAAAAAGTGAGGCATTAAAACCTGACTTGTAGCACAGGGCTAACAACATCAACATTGTATTAAACAATATAGATCAGTTTCATTTTGTTTCTGAAGGTATGGAAGCATGGCAGATGTACAATTAAAGTCATGTGCATGCCTTAAGAGGTGAGAAGAAATGTTTTTTTGGCAATGTACTGTAATACAAGCTAAGTGCAGGGTTTCTTCCTGCTTTAGCACATGGTACTAGTTACAACCACTGATATGGCTGTAAGCTATGTGGGTCACGGTCTGACACACTTTAGTAATTCCTGTTTCTCTAGTTACCTTACAGAAGAACTTCTTGAGAGACACCCAGCCTACTGTGAAGGCAAGACTGAAAAAAGGCACTTCCCTAAAAAGAATATGTAAAAGGCCTTTGTAAGAAAACTTAAGGCACTGGATGAACTGCTGCCATTTGGGGGAAATGATGTAGCCGGGAAACAGGACCATGTTCTACCCGCAGCACTTCAGTACTTAATTTTTTTCAGTAGGTAGTATGTGAGAGGTTCTCTCACCCTTTCACCTGCAGCAGTCGTCTTTGCACATCACAGTGAGTTCCTACCTCCTGAACCACCCTAGTCTGTATAGCAGTCAGGACTGCGGGTCCTGCCGCTTTACTGTCTTCATTTCTGTATTGCTCACCCAGCTCCATGGGGAGTAAGAAGCCTTAGCAGAACACAACAGAACCATCTCATGTAACAGACACAATAACCTTTAAATACCTACATTTAAATCATGTCTATTGTTAAATCACGAGTTAAATTGACACTACCAGTTAATGAGTTAATGACTTTGCTTCTACTGAAACCAGAGCTCTACATCACAAATTGCTGCACTACTCATTTCAGCTTCCAGACCCCTGGTTCTAACCTGTGCAGGCCAGAAATGACTCTGAGATCATACTCTCCTTAGAAAGCGGATCTAGCTGTTTGTTCCCAAATGTTCAATACTTAAAATGCATCAGTTCACATCCCATTAGAGGACTCAAAATTCATATCCAACACACAGTGTAAAAGGCATCTGCCCACCCATTAAGCATTCACTAGACAGAAAAGTGAACAAGCCTGAGGAAAAGCAAGCAAAACCACACACACTTGAGGAGATCTATCCGTCTCCATGATTCCGGCACACAGACCTAATTCTTGTTAACTTTAACAAAGCAAAAGAAATACACTGTCATTTCAGTCTTTCAGATGGCCACTACCAATTCAGCCAGCTAACCCTGAAGCCACCAGAGGACATGATGACCAGCCACACGAAGGCATATTTTTCTTTTCTAAATTGGACAGTTATTTCAATTGAAAGGCCATGATTTCTTTCTTTGAATCCTCTCAGAAACAAGGAAAGAGCTTTCCACTTCGCTGAGCAGCTCACGCTATGGACAAAAATAGAATCTCTGAGGTCTTCTGCATCTGGCCTGACCATCCTTAGCTCCAGGTAAGCACGTTTGATTCTGACTTGCATTGCACTGGGAGTATCTATCCCTTCCTTACTTCACAGTAGTAGTCCTAAATTGACTGGGTTTTCCCTACTTTTGTTATGTTTCTCTCTCTCCAGTAGCTTGCCTTTTAATTTCTGTCCTTTTCACAACCTTTTCAGGTGATTGCTGTACCTGGAACATCCATCTTCTGCAGCATTAAGTAATCCAAATACCCTCCTTGAGTTAAGGCAGCTCTGGTGCTACCTGTTCTTTTTTTAATCCAGAAAGATTAAGTGATAGGTACCTAATTGCCCTGTAGATGACACAGCTTTTCCCTCTTCCCAAAGCAGTGTATGTGAACGTACCCTTTGGTCAGTTTAAATTGGATTTTTTGACTAGTAGCTCCACTTAGCCATACAGCATTCACAAATATGATACTTCTTCTACGGAGTTTCTTTTAGCACTTGGTTTGAATGCTGCAGTGGTCATGGAGTCTCTTAAGGCAGATTCTACCTGCCCTGGGAAAGCTTACTGCAACAGTTTCTAACTGCAGTGTAAGAAATCCGCTCACCCTTGCAGCTGAGCACGTTTTCACACTTTTCTGAATGGCAGGCACTAAAATAGACCAGTCCGAGGTCTCTTACTTACTGAGATGCAGCTGACTTTCTGGGACAGAACGTGAAAACATTTCCCTACTGTCCTAATATACCAAGCCTACACCTCCCTTTCTGCGCAGGCTGTTGTCTTGTCTTTCTCCCTGGTTGGGAAGGGAGCCTGGCATTACATCTCCACTGTCACAGTGGTGTCATGCTCAGAATAAGGCACAGTTTGCTGTCACTGCAGCTGTTACGAGTAATTCATTATTTACAAGTCTTATTCTACACTTCCCCTTACCAAGGTCTTGTGCAATGAATCTGATGCAACTCTAAAGAAGTCTCTTTGAAGTTAAAATATCAGCTGCTGGTTTGAGGATAAGCTCACTGTAACCAGAAACTTATTAAACATATTTGCAAGAGTTCAAAACCCACTTACAATGAAATAATAATAAAAAAACCTAGCTGTTACAGTAACCACATTGCTAGTACTTGCCTAGATATCAAAACTATATATTATTTCCTTTTCACTAACCTCAAAAGCTTTTATAGGCCATCATTAAGCCCTGTTTGGATTTCTTCTCTCTCTGCTTAGCCCACTTACAACTTTCCATTCCACTCTGCAGGGCAACTGCCAGGCAGCCATTCTCACTGGCAGAAATCTTTTGTGTGGTCTTGCCACAACTGCCCTCCTTACACTGAGACTGCACTACCTCTGTGTGCTCCCGCCTGCAGGGAGATTATGTTTTTCCACAATGCTTTGAAGATTCAAAAAACAACGACTACTTTAAGGTAACAAGGCTCATGTAAGCTAATAAAGTTAATGTAGCTATTGTCTTTGAGAAATTATGATTAGTTTTGCATAAAAACGTATTAGTGTTTTAGCTACAAAGTTAAGAACTCGAGAACTAGGAAATACCGATATGTTGACTACACAGATGGATGATACGAAACAAGAGGAAGAATTGTGTCTGTGCTACGTGTTAGTTATTGCGGATGTTAGAAAGCCAGTGCACTGCAGGAAGAGGTCTTATTCAGAACCTGATTACACTACTGATAAATGATATCACACCTCTGTGCCTGCTGGTGGTTCTTGCATCACAGTAGGCAAATTATGCTTTTAATAGATGGCCGCTACTTACGGGTGTCACTATGTTGCATGATAAGTTTAATACCTTATAATATCACCTTCCAAGTGCTGAACAATCAAAGCTACAAATGTGATCAGTGGGAGGTATGCTTTTAACATGTGAGGTGCTACATAAGGTATAATAAAAAACTCAGTCTTAAGTATCTCACGTTGAGCCTTCAGCAGTGGTGCATGATTTTGAATGGATTTCTGCACTTTGGCTTCAGATTTGTTAAACTGGAATAACACATTCATGTCTCACACAGTATGGTGACAGCAAAGACGCTTGGTGACACAAAGTGACAACAATGGAAAATAATGCCTTCAAAAAAGGCAACATCCTTTCAGGTAATACACCCTAAGTAAACAAACTGTTCTCTCCTTGACTGCCTCCCTCCTTAATACTGTCTCTCTCCCATTCCTCCTAACCCACTATAATCTAGTCTCTATGCTATCCCCAACTTTTTATTCCAAAGCTATTCTTTTGGCCTAATTTGCCCCAAACCCTGATACCAGTTTGCTTTCATTTCAGCTAGTTGCACTTTTCTACAATCTTTCTCATATTTCTAGTTCCCTTCTGATCTATTTTCTTCTGGCCATCCTTGTCCCAAAGGATCCACTAATACAGAATGCAAAGACTTGGCTCTTACATTTTCCTTAACATGGTACACCCGATCTTCAGCAAACTGGTGTAATTTTCCCTGCCATTTATTCCCAACCCCAGCACCTGTCCTTTGCCAACCTTTAAATCCAGTCTGTGCTCCTATACCCACTTTGTCTCAATTCACCCCATCCTGCATACGGTATCCTGGTATAAGATATCCACACAGTGGTACTGAGACCTGGGGCACAGCAATGTGACAATAAACTTACTGCTTCCTTTCTCAAGGCTTTTTCGCTCCTTTGCACCGCGACGATAAGGAGGGACCTTACTGCTCTCTACAACTCCCTGAAAGCAGGTTGTAGCCAGGGTGGGGGTCGGTCTCTTCTGCCAAGTAACAGGGTACAGGACAAGAGGAAATGGCCTCAGGTTGCACCAGGGGAGGTTTAGGATGGATATTAGGAAAAAATTATTCACTGAAAAGGTTGCTAAGCGTTGGAACAGGCTGCTGCCCACGAAAGTGGTGGAATCACCATCCTTAGAGGTATTTAAAAGATGGGTAGATGTGGCACTGAGGGTTTAGTGGTGGTTTTGGCAGCGTTAGGTTAACGGCTGGCCTCGATCTTAAAGGTCCCTTCCAACCTAGACGATCCTATGATCCTGTGATGATGTGGCAAGCCAGCCCCGACCCGTCCACGCTGTGGAGACAGGCAAAAAAAAAACCCCAACAACCCACTTCAACTCACATCAGGGGAGCCGCAAATACCTCTAAGGGCTTGTAAAAGCCCCCAAACTAACGTCTCTGTCGCTAACGGGCCCTGAGGAGGAGCTCTCGAAGGACAACCCTCACCAGAAATGGCTGCACCCAGAGAGCGGCGGCCGACAACGCATCCCGGCCTCCAGCGTCGGCTCCCGTGCCCGGCGCAGCCAAAGGCTGCGCCGAGCACGGGAGCCGGCGCTGGAGGCCGGGCCAGAGCGGTGCTCGCCGGGCCCGCGGCTCCCTGAGGGGAAGAGGCGGGGGGGGCGGCCATCTCCCCTCAGCCTCGCGCCCCGCCCTGTGATGATGTGGCAAGCCAGCCCCGACCCGTCCACGCTGTGGAGACAGGCAAAAAAAAAACCCCAACAACCCACTTCAACTCACATCAGGGGAGCCGCAAATACCTCTAAGGGCTTGTAAAAGCCCCCAAACTAACGTCTCTGTCGCTAACGGGCCCTGAGGAGGAGCTCTCGAAGGACAACCCTCACCAGAAATGGCTGCACCCAGAGAGCGGCGGCCGACAACGCATCCCGGCCTCCAGCGTCGGCTCCCGTGCCCGGCGCAGCCAAAGGCTGCGCCGAGC